AGTAGCCTTCATGCCCAGAAGAAGCAGAAGGACAGCTGCCAGGAGGCCTCAGAGAGACAAGAGTAGGAGTGCGTATCTGCTTGGCTGCTTGATGTTCTTGATGTCCTGGGAAGACTGGTGCTGAAATGGATGTGCGATGTATATTCGTGGTTTGTGTTGAGAGGGAAGTGTTGTTGGATGGATGAGTGGCTGTATTGAACGTGCCCGATGGTGTGAGCCAAAGAACTGAGCCAACGCACGCAACGTGGACGGAACACGAAAGAAAGGTCAAAGCACCAATAGAAGAGAAAGGAACAGCTGCTGCAGTGGAAGAGCAGCAGCTTCAGGATGCGCCACACCCACACACACACACACACACACACACATCACGGCTCACCGCTTGATGTGGAGCTTGTTCTCCTTACTCGGGTACTTGGTCGGGTGCACCTGAACATCATCGCAGATGAGGCAATGGCGTCAGCATAACACGACTGCACACAAACGCCACCACCCGACCCCAAGCAACCGCCACCACCACCTCACTCCAAAGCAAACAAGTCGCCCCACAGCCAGCCCACCTTGCAGACGCATGCGTAGAGGTTGGCGGCGGCAATCAGAAACTCCTTGTGCAACGGATTCTGCGGATCAAACTCGAGCGCCTCGGGGAAGATCTTGTGGTCTTTGTGGCCAGCACACGCGAGGGTGCGGAGCAATGGAACGAGGCAAACACGCGATCAGTTGCGGTGTGGATGGTGCTGCCAGAGCGAACACACACACACATACACGCACACACACACACACACAAACACAGACACACACACGCACGCACACACACACACGCACGCACACACACACACACGAGTCCTCACCTGACCAGAAGGGCTCTCCACTCTTGGTCTTTGCGTCTGCGGGGAAGGTGGCGATGAGGTCCAGAATGACGTCGCGGAAAAACGCGTGAAAGTCGCGCCACGCCAGCGACACTCACGTCTCCATCGTCGGCTTCTCTTGCAGCTGAGGCATAACACGCGCCAGCTGTAGTGGTGGTGGTGGTGGTGTGAACCCTCATCACCAGGAAAGGGCGTGTCATCACAAACCTCCATCACATCCATCACACATCCATCACACAACTACCACACGCTGCCACCTTCAACAACAACAACAAACACCAGCACCTGTGCGGCGAGGTCCTTGATGGCCTTGAGCGTGTCCACGCCGCGTTCGAGGGCGCCAATCCGCTCGTGCTGCTCAATCTTCGTCTGCAGCCCCGAGATGAAGCCCTCAGGGTCCTCCAGGAACTGCTGCAGCTGCGACGCAGGGCTCACAAACAGGTCCCCGAACTTGGCCCGCGCCCCACTCGATGAGGTGCGGGAAGCTGCGCAGCGTGCACATGGGAATGCCGCCACCTGAGAACAGAAAAAGAAGATGAAAGAAGATGTTGAGTGGCGGTGAGACGATGGGGCTGGATAGGATGCAAACGACCGTGTAAGCTTCTCAAATGCACACACGCACGTGTACACAGCACACATACCTGCTTCTGCGTCGCCGCCGTCGCTGTATGAGTTGATGGTGTGCGGCACAATGACGTCGACGTTGGCGCCCGTGCCCATCGTCCCGCTGGCTTCTCGTACAGCACACACTTGCTGTCAACAGGTTGTGTGATATTGTATGTCGAGGGGGGTTCGTGTGTATGGATCAAGATAGTAGGTGAGTGTGCATACAGTCGAGTTGAAATCCCATCAATCGACATGTTGTCTACACACACACACACACACACACACACACACACACACACACACACACACACACACACACACACACACACACACACACACACACACACACAAACTATCTAGTCACCTTCGTGAAAATTTTAAAAAATGGGGGGGAGGGGGCTGTTACGGCCGCTGATTTCTGAAGATTCCCTGGGGCAAAAACCCCTTTCTTTTACACCCCCCTTCGTGATGGTGATGGCCATGAGGGTTAGGGAGGGAAGTTGAAGCCGAAGTCAAAAGTTTAGCATGCGCAGTGCGTCACCACCTTCAATTCACCATGGCACCATCTTGCTTGATACACGATTTGGAAACACACGGTGTTACGCACACGCACGCTCACACATGCGCACATGCACAAGTACGCACTCACCTCAGGGCAGCTGGTATAACAGGGGAAGATGATGATGCTCTCAAGTGGCACGCCCCTGGTGTCTGTATCTCACCATGCCGCAGTGCATGGCCTGGTCAATCGAGGTTGTGTGTGTGAGTGAGTGTGTGTGTGAGTGTGTGTGAGAGTGAGTGAGAGAGAAGCACATTGCCATTGCTATGCGCTGTGTCTCGTCTGCGACAACACGAACACGTGATGTTGATGATGATGGTGCGGTTCACAATGTTTGTTGACGAAAGGAAACAACTCATCAAAGCACACACACACACACACACACACACACATGCGCGTGTGGAAGAACAAACAAACCTGTGTGGTGGTGTTGGTGGCATTTCTTTTGTCGCTGTCTGCAGTGATGCAGATGATGGGCAGTGGCGGACGAGGAAAGCAACCACAGCAACCAAAGAACATCAACACAAGCTGGTTGTACAAAGGACAGCAGATACACAAGCGAGAAGACAGCTGCACCACAGCAACCACACACACACACACACACATGTGAGTAAGAAAGGTGATGAAGTGAAGGACAACATCACAACCATTGCCAACAACACCTGCTTCATCAGCACAGTGAGGTGAGCGCAAGCCAACAACCATGACTGGAACATGCGAGCGACACTTTGGCTTGTTCACCTGTCGTTGATGTGCACCCTTGGTACGCCAGCCTTGCTTGGTGTGGGTGTCACGACGCAATGCGCTCGTCCGTCATTGCCCCCTCCCACCACAAACACACACAGCACACACACACACACACACACACACACACACACACACATACACACACATCCACACACACACACACACACACACACACACACACACACACACACACACACAGCCGTCGTTGGCGCCGGCCATCCTCGACACATTCTCAAATCTCAAGTGCGAACACTGATGTTGGTGGTGTTGTTGATGATGCTGTGTATCTGCGGAGTGATCCTCAGCCACCATGTTCTTGGATTGCGACGCAGCCATTCCACCATCATCCCTCACCCATCTCCCCCCCACCCACACACACACACACCACGACCACCCTCATCCACACCCTTGCTGTGCAGTGTGGCGCCGGTACGCCTGTGCCAGATCTGCGACCACGTGTTGAGCCAGCTTGGATCGTACAGCCCAGAGTGCCTTCAGTCGTCATCAAGTTTCTCATGCAGCAAGGTGGCGCTGTTGTTGAGGGGAGTGGCAGATGTTGCCGCAGTGTGTGACAGTGTGTGATTGCGATCTCACACGCGCCCGCCTGCACGTGTCACTGTGGCTTGTTCTCTCGCAGCCGATCCCTCATATGCCTTCGCACACACACACACACACACACACACACACACACACACACACACACACACACACAACACACACACTCACACACATGCACGTTGATGTTCAGCGGATGGAATGGATGATGTGAATGCGCTGACAGCGAACATGCAACACCAACAACGGGGCGACGATCACCATGTGCTTGTGTGTGGTGGATGCCATCAAGAACGGGCTGGCATTTGATGCGCGCATTGCAAAGGCGTGGCTGCGGCCAACTCAAGACGACCACGGCCCAGCCAATCACCGCCCTCGATCTGCTTGTGCTGTTGCTGCTTTACCAAGCACCAGAACGCCCACCGCCGCGGCGCAGAGACCACCGTCATCAAGCTTGCAAGCACGGGCCGGCTCATCGCCGCCATGGCCGCTGCCACGTTTGCCAGACACACGCGCGCGTTCTTGATGTGCTTCAAGTCGATTGTGCACATGGCGGACATCCTGAGCCAGCGGCAGGGGGCCGCGTGCCGCGACCTCGCCTTAACGGCCGGAGGTGGTCGGGGCCCTGGTGGCGCACATTGGCACGGGGCAGGCACAGGAGGTGGACGCAGCCATGCCTGTGCTGCTACTGTCGCTGGCCACAGACCACCCGAAGCTGCTGCACCCATTTGCGCTCATGCTGAACGGCATCCTGGACTGCCTGAGCACCCTGCACTTCATCCACATTCTGCAGCTCTTCTGTGTCCTGACCACGCTCATGTCTGACCGCAAGCGCACCGCCGCCGCAGGCCTCAGCATTGATGACGAGAACGAGGATGGTGGGTGAGATTGTGTTTGAGTGTGTGTGTGTGTGTGTGCGGATGAACGTGTGTGTGAGTGTGTGTGTGAACTTGCATTGGGGAATTAAGTCTGTCCTTCCATGAAGAGCGTCTCTCACCCTTCTCACTCAACCACCACTACCACCACCACCACCACCACCACCATTCCTTCTCCATTGCACCCCGTGTACGGCAGCTGTCTCAATCGAATGAAGAGCTGAAACGCATCAACACCATCGCCGCCGCCACCGTCACCCACACCTGGCTCGCTCTTGCCAACGACGCAGGCATCTCCATCGACGGTGCGTGCGTGCGTTCATGCGTGCGTGCGTTTGCGCCCTTGTCTGCACCCTTGTTTGCGGTTCACCTGAGTCCCCCGTGTGTACCTGTCGTGCTCCTTCTCATCCATCACTCACCCGTCTCCTCGCCTGTCCAACAGGCGACCATCTCTCCTCACTGTTGCAGGCATTGCACTTCATCTATGTCGACAAGTGTGTTCAGCTGACATGCTCCGTTGCCACAACGCCTCCTCGTCCACGCCCAGTCATTTGCCCTTCTATCGTGGCGTCGTTTC